AGAAAAGTTAAACCTGAGGTATCAGGTTTCCAAGAGCTGGAAAACGCCGCTTGGGCTCCACCTGGTGAGGAAAGAGCGCGGAGCAGGGATTGGGGACAGGGACAGGGATTTGTGTCCCTTCCCCATCCGCATCCAGGGCAGGAACAGCCCTAACTCTGACCCTAAACCATCAGCAGCTCCCCCTTCTCAGCTTCACGCTTTCTCTGCTCTGCTCTGCCCCTTACTGAAATGAAAAGCTGAAGCAGGAATATCTGTAATTCGGGAATAAACAGGAAAAATCACCTCGGAGCTACACTTGGCTGCCTCCCCCTCCTGCGAGGGTCAGATGGGATCTACACAGCCAGAAGTTGGAATTGAGAGTCCCAGGAGGAATTTGGATGGATATAATTTATCAGCTTTGAAGTTCTTCTTAACAGGATTTTAAAAGACACACAGGATAGGTTGCAAGAATTAATTATTTATTTTACGCAGCATAAAATCTGATTTTTTTTTTTTTTTACATAGTGTTTATCTGAAAATGGCAAGACCTGAAAGTACAAAGTATCAATTTTTGGAAAATTGAGTAATGAGGCTTGACAGTAAGTGGGATAGAGATCCTAACATAACCTGAAGATGGAATTAGAAAGACTATACCCCTTTGTTCCAAAGTTTGATCCCATTTTCTTTTCAGTCAATGTTAAAAACATTGTCTAATTAAAACAAAAGAAAACAACAGGTGAAGAAATGCCTCTGTAAGTTGACCTTAAAGGTGAAATCCTTTCCACACTTCCTGAATAACATAACAGTTATAGTAGTGTTAAAAGCCTTAAAAGATCTCTGCATCTCCATATAAAATTTGCAATAAAAAATGTGAACTGCCTGTTTTCAGGTAAGTCTTCAACACTGAACTTTGTGTAGTTTATGCACACACAGAGTATTGGCTACCAAAGCAATTTTCCCAGCACATATTGCAATAATCCATGCCTTTGTGCTATCAAGAAATTGTTAGCTGTCTTTTCATTACCTCTAAACATTCTCAACTCTGGTTTTTATACCACAGAATTTTCCAAAGGACAACCATGCTGCAAATAAAGTCATTTAAACATTCAGCTCCATAATCCCTCTCTGAAAACACAGGAATAAACATGCCCTTTGCGGGTTTGACTTGTGAAAATTTCCCTCATCAGAGTGGGCCAGGATGAGAGGATTGTTACAAACAATGTCTTTATTCAAGTGTTTTGCCTAAATACACATTGCTGTAAAATCAGAGCAAACTCCGTTGGTCACCTGGAGTTTTTAGGACAAAAAATGTCATGGATGGAGTTCTCACAGCTCCTTGTGGTTCTCCTCTCCACCTCTGTACTTCCTGAGGATGGAGAAAAAAGTGAATATACAGGATCAGGCCATATTTCCAAGTGGGATGTGAAAGAAGTCCAGGGAATGTTGTCAAATGCACAAATGAGCTCTTGGCACACAGTAAAATTCAGGGACCATTGGCACAGGTAAAGTTTTGGCTCCAATCCTTCTCCTAATAGTACTCCAAGTGTTTTCTACCTACAGTTATTTTTTAAAGCATCAAGGAACTACTTTAAAACAGGCCTGTGAATGGTAAACAAGAAAAATGTATCTTTTGTTAGAAAGCTAAAATTGGAACATGGAGACCTTAATCTTTTAGCAACTTTTTTTGGGGGAGGGAATGAAAAGGGGGGAATGGCCTAGAAGACAAATCAGAAAAATCAGAGTTACAACCAGCAAATTAGTAGGACAGCAACTATGCTAAAATATGTTTAAGTGATTGTTATAAAATAAAAAAAAAAAAAAGAAAAAAAAAAAGAAAAAGGAAGAGAACACTTATTAAGGGCTACTTCTTTTTAAATTCTAAAACTTACCTTTTGTGTTTTACTTTTTGGCCAGCTCAAAAGAAATTCTGTGTGTGCCTTCATGGTCCAATCTAAAACATCCCAGTATTTCAAAGACTATTTGACCACAAAGATCCAGGCAGATACAAACCATTCTTCTATTACCCCTACACAGTCATTGATATCAGCATGTTTTATGATTTCCTGTCCTGCTGTTTCCAGATGTCACTACTGGGGTGAGAAACAGCACTGAGTTACATGGAGAGGGGAATATTCAGCAGCTGGGCAATGATCCTGCCCAAAGATGGTTGTGTCCTGTGCTCACCTGGGAGGGGATAACTCCCAGGAGCACCAAAAGGCACCTTGGAGTGCTGGTTTCCAAAATATTCAGGCAGGTGGAGCCTTGCCAAAGGAAATGGGGGCTGTGGGATGCTGCACCTACAGCAGCTGCTGTCTCTCTGCGGCTTTTGTGGTTTGGATCCACCTCACCCAGAGTTTGGCTGAAGGCAAGTATTTCTGCTAGCATTCCCAAAGAGAGAGAATAATTCCCATAACCAGGATGCTGCATTACTGCCAAGCCTGGATTAGCACCTAATGAAGCCTCAAAAGCCAGCAAATCTAACTGGTTCAGAAGATTGCCCCTATCCTGTTACCAACCTGTTTTCACTTCTCTCAACAGTAGCCAGAAATGAACAATTTATCAGTCAGAGAGTCAAGTTTGACAGGAACTAATGTATTGGTAAAAAGTACAGCCTTCTCTGAAAAGGATCAATCTGTTATGCTCTTGCAATTTTTAATAAAGCTAAAGGCATCCTATTTATTTTTCTTTCTGCAATTCCTTTTAATTGCACCTCCATAGGGCCCTGTACCAACACCTTTCATTACATCACTGATATTGCTATTTCTGTTTGTGTCTGGGATGAGGACATGACAACCAACACCAGCCCAGTTGTTGGAAACCCCTATGGAAATCAAAAAAACTTTCAGCAGCACAATCATGTTTTAATATTGGAAAATTTAAGGATCTCTCTTTCTCTCCTTGGCAATGTGCAGAGCTATGCAACTCTCACAAGCCTTTTAATATTTAAAAGGAAAAGCCTGGTAGACAAATGGCTCATCCCTCAGTAAGACAAAGGCAGCCAATACACAGCAAGGAACTGGATCAGGGTGATTTTTGCTGATGAATTTTATAGCTGTTGACAACAGGAGATACCAAAACCCCTTGATCCATTACATTTAGGATGACCCAACATGCACATCCTAAACACAATCCTTCACCTTAAAAACAGAACAATCCCCTCCACCTAACTGCTTTTACAGCGCCTGAACAAAAGCCTCATTAAAATGCTTCATCTGTTTCCCTTAGCATTTAAATTGCTCCAAAATACCCATGACAATATTTCTAAAAGGCAGTGGGATAGAATTAACCTATTCCCAGGGTTGGGCTGGGTTTAACCACTGGAACTCCAACCACACCCCCTCCAATCCCTGGTGATGGCACCAATGGTTTTAAATTATCTGCAAGGCTGCAGCCAGGGCAATGCAGCTTCCTGACACTTTCCTAGGACGTGGTGTTACATTCCCATCAGGGGAGAGATGGGTCAGCAAGAAATATTGACATTTCTTACAAGGGATGGTTTGGAGAGCTGTGATTTGGAGCATCCTGTCTTTCATAATAACGGATATTTTTCTGTACCATCTTTATTCAATACTCTTTTTTTCATTCCCCTTCCCTCCCTTTTTTTTTTTTTTTTTTTCTTCTTAAGGTGTGGTTTATTCTTATACCTGAAGTTAACAGGAACATAATATACCTCACAACATATATATTTTTTTGAAATATATCAGGGAAAGAGATCACTGTGAGTTACCAAGTGACTACACTTCGTTATAGTGTAGTCTATCACTGTGTTTCATCTTCCACACAAAACTGCTCAAGAGCATTATTTTTCTTAATGTGTTGTAGGCTAAAAATGAACCCTCAAGGGTTTCCATTGCTCTCCTTGTTGCCAGAGCAACAAAGCAATGCTCACCTGAATTTCTGCCACTGTAACTATCAATTTACAAGCCCAGATGAAGTGTGTGCTGCTCGCAGGTGTCACTCACAGCATTTTTACTACAAGCCACGTTTTTAGTGTGAAGGAATGCCAGGAAAACTCAAGAATATATCAGTATTTCTACTTGGTTATTGCTCCTCTTAATTCAAGTGTTTCCCTTAAAATATCTTGACCAAGGACATTCAAAGGGAAAGGGTAATACTTAAATCTTTTATACGAAATCCAAAAAGTCACGATGCAGGGTATTTGGTGGGATTTTCAACAAAAATTTGTTCACCAGCTCAGAAGAAATCTCTTTAAAAAGCCTATTCAGAACCTTTCCCAATAAATTCCTTCCTAAAATTCTTTGTGGTGAGGACATAGGAGGTTCTGAGATGAAGGGAGCAATGATGAAACTTTTTAAGAGCATACAAGTTGTTTTCACTTTCTGAATTGAAAGAAGGTTTATTGTTTAACACTATCCATCCAAAATCCATATGGTGTTTCTGTTTGAAACAAGTGACAGAAGCATAACTTCTATTGCCATACTGTAGAAAAAGGAGGAATACAACTCTGAAGTTATTTGTTACGTGTAAAACCAAAGCCAGGAGGATGACGTGGAACTCTTAATTAAAAGATATTAATAAAGAGATATGGAAAATAGAACACTGAGAAAACAGTTAAGCTCTATGGCTTATTTCATGTAATTCACAATTTTTCTCCTCTTAGAAACGAAGAGGCAGAGGAAGAAGGAGACAAGCTCAAAATTCCTTCCTGTTTCCAACTTCAAATTCCACGAGAAATCATTTTCAGACGTTGGATCACAGCATCAATTATTTTACTCCACTGAGCCAAGCAATCTGAAAGTGCAAGAATTGAAAAGAAAATCACAGGCACTTCCAGTTATGACATGAAAGACATAAGGTAAAAAAAAAACCCACAGTGTTTTATTTTCACACACATGATGTGCACCTCTGTAAATGCACCATTCCTGAAAAAAAAATTAAAAATCTTTCCTTATTCCATGCAGAGTCAGATGCAGAGGCAGTGTGAATAACAGAGCTATATGAAGGGATTTTGGGCAGAAAATTGTCTAGGAAAGGGATTGAGAAATTCAGAGCTAAGCTTTTTTTTATTTCCCCATTTCCCATACAGATATGCAAACTGCTCTGCTATCAAAATGAAAATGAGTATTTTTTCCTTTTTTTAAATGTATAAAAAACCCCTCAGCCTTGCACTCTTTCCAATGCAAACACTTAGGCCAGTGTTACAGAGAAGCCTGAAACTAGAGAAAAGAAAAATTGTCCTCTCTGCAAAGAAAACACCTCATTCCTACCTCAGCATGATGATCTGCACTTGCAGGATGGAAGCCTGGTCAATACACCCTCCCCTGTTCTCTCCCACTATTGTTTCCAGTCCCACCACGTGTTTGTTTTCAGCCAGGATACACACACACTTTTCATTTGATTGATGCCAAACCGAACATCTCAAGCTGAAAAACAAGCCAGCATAAAACTTTCACTTCACAGCCTGTCCATAAAGACAGGTGCTTCTCCTTTGAGTTTCTAGGTTGCTGAGCTCAGCCAAATTAAAACAAACAAAAAAAGTTGTCATTCTTATTTTGTTTTCTTTCTGTTACACTCTCTCTAGAAATACAGCAGAACACAGACCTTGCTGTCTTGTCTGTCCATAGATATGCAGATCAGCCTTTTCTAAATATCAAACTCAGAAAAAAACCAACAAAAACCCCACACAAGAGGGGGAAACTGAAAGGTTTCTTTTTTTTTTTTTTTTGGTGCACCAAAGTGGAAAGTCATGAAGTATTGATTTTTATAAAATCCCAAAAAATTCAAAGCCAAGTAGTTCCATTTGGTTGTATGGAGCATCTTTTGTGCTTCAAGACCAGTTCTAATCCACACACTCACCAGTGGTAGCATCCTTGTAAATTAAGAGAGGTAGTCTTGTTTTACTCTAAGGCTGAACAAGTTTGTTTCCCAGTTTTCACCACCTTGGACTATATTTTGTTACAGCTCTCAGGGAGGGCGACCCTCTCAAGTGGCAGCAGTGATCTTGAGGGAAAGAAACCACAGACAATATTTCTTCTGGATCTCCCTTGCTTTTTCTCTGCTGCTTAAGTCAGACCTTTCTCCCTCCCCCAAACCATAAGCACAGTTTCAAAATAAACTGATGTAAACAGAAAGCAGTATTCATTTAATGCAATTAATAAGAAAGATTATTATTTTTTTTCTCTTTTTCTACAGTCAGGGCTCGATTAGTTAGAAAATACTGACAGCTCCTTTTTTTTTTGTGTAAGAGAGATGGACAATTTTGTTCAGACAGTGGAAGAACATCATGGTGTGGCTTTTTATCTTTTTTTTTTTAACTTTTTTCCTTTTTTTTTTTTAAAGAAGGTACTGTAGAGAGCATAAAGGCTCCTTGTACTGCAGTAGCAAATCCAGTACCGTAGCACTTCAGAGGTGGTTAACAGTGCTTTGGTTCAGAACCGGTGTTAGAAAATAAAGCTATAAAAGTCACGATGCAGGGGATTTGGTGGGAATCTCAACAGCGTTTTCTAGGAACGTAGGAGGGACTGAGGAGGCATTGGCTTCTCCCCCTTGGCAGAGCTCTTTGTCCTTGGTCCTGTTTTTGAGTTTGTTTTTGGGATCCAGCCCCTCACTTCCAGCGGTGGCGCACGAGGGAGGACTCGTCGTTGACCACGTCGTTGTCGGTGTAGCGGTGCTGGCAGCGGGGTGGGATGAGCAGCAGCACGATCAGCACCAGCAGGATGGCCCCACACAGGCTCATCAGGGCGTAGGAGGCGATCCAGAGCACGGGCTCGTGGAAGGAGACACTGGAGACGCAGTTGCTGGCCACATCTGCCGTGGTGAAAGGGCCCTCGATCTCGGAGACGGGTGCGCCATCAACTTCTGGGGAGCCACAGAAAGGAAAGGATCAGGTCTGCAAACATCATTACAAAGTACTTGTACATCCCTCTGTCATCACAAATCTCAACACACTCCAGTTTTACTGTCACAGACATCTTTTATGGAAAATCCTTTCCTTAGGATTTTTCCTCCTGAGAAGCTGAGAGGCCTCAGAAATAAAATGTAAACAATGATTATCTGCTGCTGTGGAATGCAACAGGTGCATCTGTGATTGGTCCATGTGGTTGTTTCTAATTAATGGCCAATCACAGTCAGCTGGCTCGGACTCTGTCCAAGACAGAAGCTTTCGTCACCATTCTTTCTATTCTATTCTTAGCTAGCCTTCGGAGGAAATCTTTTCTTCTATTCTTTTAGTATAGTTTTAATGTAATATATATCATAAAATAATAAATCAGCCTTCTGAAACATGGAGTCAGATCCTCGTCTCTTCCCTCATCCTCAGACCCCTGTGAACACGGTCACATTTTACCACATTTCTCATTGCAATTAAAATGTGTCTTAGGTTGAAAATGGGTGTGTGTGTTCTATTCCTATCAGTGGGGAAGTTCTCTCCTGTTCCTGGGCAGTTTTTCCTTTCTCTCTCCCACAGCCAACCCTCCCTCCAGGAGATCTCTGCTGTCCATGGCCACAGAGTGTCCCTGCAGGGCTGATCCAATCCCAGCATCCCATGGGGAGATGCTCCGCCCAGGGGAGGAGCCAAGCATTCCTACCTGGATCCAATCTGAGCCTGGCACAGCACAGCAGCCTTTGCCCCCTGCATTGCCAGAGGAGCAGCTTTCTGCTGCCCTGCATGGCCAGAGGGAGCCCAGGCCCATCTGCAGCAGCCCTGGAGCTGCAGAGGAAAACTCCCCCCTTGTGCAGGATCCCTGCTGCAGCAGAGCCACAGCTGGCACTGCAGGAGGGCTGAGCCCCCATGGGATGGGGCTGGGACACCGCCCTGACACACAGGGGGCAGGGACTGCTCTGACTCTGGCAGTGCTGTTTTGTGTTACTGCATTTTCATTTTATTTTCTTCCCTAATAAAGAACTGTTATTCTTACTCCCATATCTTTACCTGAAAGCCTTTTATTTTCAAAATCATAATAATTTAGAGGGAGGAGGTTTACATTTTCCATTTCTGAGGAGACTCCTGCCTTCCTTAGCAGACACCTGGCTTTTCAATGCAAGACAAAACAAAAGAATCCCATGTTTATGAAAAGGGACTCTGAAGCATAAGGAGACTGTGACTCTCCCACATCTCCACAGGCTGTCCAGGAGAGGACAGACATTTCAATCAGTCAAGCCCAAACCATTAGATCACTTTTTTACCTCTGCACTAATCATTCAAAAATACCTATTTAAATATCCTACAACATCCACCCTGCTGTCGGGCAGGGCCTGGGCAGCTTTTTGCTTGTTTTTTTTTGCATTTCCAACAACTGGAAAAGCACCTCAGGTGATTCTTTGCTCTTCTGTGTTTGATGTCTTAGGGAGCAGCAGGAAGGTTCATCAGCTTCACAGACACCTGAAAGGACTTTACCCTAAACACAAGGTGCAGTGTGGAAAGCAGCACAGACCCTCTTGGGGATGAAAATCCAGAAGGAAGGGGAGGTGAGGCAGGAGAGCTGGGTGACAGATATCCACAAAAGGGGAGTGGATGAGAGGAAGATCAGTGTCAGGAGTGAGGCACAGGGACATGAAGGAGCAATGGTGCTGGGCCAGGAGAACTAACCCAGCAACTCAAAAAATGATGACAAAGTTAAGGCAAGGAAGCAGTGATTATTCACTTCTCTAGTCAGCCACTTCCATGACACATCTGAACATTTTTTCATGAGGGCCCCAGTTTTAACTGTCCTGTCTGTTTCTCACACATTTTACATACAGGCACACTCTTGCCTGATTGGAAGTGATCCCACTACTAAAAACTGCATCTCTTATTTTCACATATCTTAGTCACAACTGCTGAAACCACATTTAAAGAGATTACCATAAACTACCCCCTTGGAAGGAAGGAGGGAGCCTGGATTTTGCAAAGCTAACCTTTAAGGTTCTTCAGGTTTTTAAAAAAATGCAGAATAGGTTGGTTGCTTTATCTGCATAGATTTTGGTCTTTATTCAGTGCCTAGCCTCACACAACCTTGTATTATTTTAAGATTTAGGTTTTGTTAGATTCAATTCAATTCAATTGTGGGCTGGTGTTGAAAGGGGCAATCCTGCACCCTCACTCCTGTCCCTCACAGCCCCGTTGGTGATGGAGGAGGGAATGGGAGGCTGCAACTCACAGATCAGATGGGACACCAGCCTTCACGACAAACAAAATGCCCAAATAAGGAATTTTCTGTGGAATCACTCATCTGAACCAGCCCTTTCTCCACCCTAAGTGTGGGAAGGCTCCTTGAGCAGGAATATGCTGTGAGAGTGAACTGGGGGCACCCGAGGCTGCACCCACGAGGACCCTGGCACTGGTGAATAACCAAACACCCACTCCCCAAACTCATTAGATGGTAAAAACTCTGCCTAGAAAGGTCTGTGGAAGAAATCCTTTTTGTCCAGAGCCCCAGGATTGCACTTTGCAATTTCTTATGCAATTATTTCTTCTGGACATCTCACCCCCTCACACCATTGGTTTCTCTCTATGAAGTTCAGCAGCAGCACCAAACTCAACCACATTTAACACCAATTTCAAATGCAAGGTCTAAATATCATTACTTAGTTGTATTTTGAAGAAGTTGGGAGGGGGGGAAGAAAAAGCAGTACAATTTTCCACCTTGGAAATTACTTTGAAAATACACAGTCTCTAATTACTCATTATTTGGCTCCAGCACAATAATTACTCCTATTAAAGAAGACAACACAAAACTGTTGCCATAGTGGCTGACATTTTAAATTGCATTTTGAGAATGCTTGATAGCAGCACAGCCTCTGCTTTCTTCCCTCCAAAAGGGAAAAAAGTTTTCCCTCACACTCTTCCACCTCCAGGGAAATTGAGAGGAAATTTTGCCTAAATTGTTCAAAGAAGCCCTTAACATAAACTAACAGTCACACACTCAGCATATTACACATTAACTGAATTAGAGGATTTTGATGTATTATTTTAGAATATTTGGTGGTACCTAACTGCAGTACTTGTATAACCTTGAATAAATGAGATTTTCTTCATTGTTGATAATTACAGGACAAAAAAGGTGCCTCTGGAAAAATGCTGTTTTCTAACATTTGTGTAGAACTCAACACATGCTAGCTCACCCACTTGGGTGGTTACAAAAGCAGTTAACCTGGAATTAGATAAAATTCATAATAGAATTGTGAAGTACAGCTTGAAAGGGGCCCCTGGAAGACCAGGATCCTACTCAGAGACCTGTCAGCATCAACAGATCAGTTCTGCTGCAGGTTTATCCAGCCAGGCCTTGTAAAACCCCAAGGATGGGGACCCTGTTTCAGTGTTGTGCCACCCACCTGCTGAAGAAGAAACTCCTCATGTCCAATGTTCCTGAATGTCCCTGGCAGATGTTGCTCTTTGTTATTTAATTTCATTTTCACCTTCCTTGACTTGCATTCAGCTTAGAGCCTATCAAAACCCCAATTCTTTTCCACAGGGCTATTTATTTTTTCCTGACTTTTTTTTTTCTTTGCTGGAAAGAGACATTAAAAATTATCTAGTTTAAACCCATGCCATGGGCAGGGAACTTTCCATTAGACCAGGCTGTTCAAAGCCCCATCCAACCTGGCCTTGAACATTTCCAGGTTGCTTCACTAAAACCAACTCGTTGATCTGAACATCCTGTCTCAAGAAGGAACCTGATCCAAAAACCTGTCCTAGTCATCCTCTAAATACTAGATTATCAACAGGCAACTCATAATTATTTGTCTGAATAAGCCTTAAAGAGTTTCATGTAATGAGTTAAAGGCAAATTTCCTGCTACAATGGAAGAGCTTCTTGCAACTATCTAACTTTCCTGTCGCGGACATCTTTTATGGAAAATCCTTTTCTTAGGATTTTTTTTCTCCTGAGAAGCTGAGAGGCCTCAGGAACAAAATGTAAACAATGATTATCTGCTGCTGTGGAATGCAACAGGTGCATCTGTGATTGGCCAATGTTGGTTGTTTCTAATTAATGGCCAATCACAGTGAGCTGGCTTGGACTGTGTCTGAGACACAAACCTTTGTTATCATTCCTTCTTTTTCTATTCTTAGCCAGCTTCTGATGAAATCCTTTCTCCCATTGTTTTAATACAGTTTTAGTATAATATATATAAAAAAATAATAAATCAGCCTTCTGAAACATGGAGTCAGATCCTCATCTCTCCCCTCATCCTCGGACCCCTGTGAACACTGTCACACTTTCCTCATTCTTGGTACATCCTGGAGAATAAAAACAATCCAAGGAATAATATGGGATAAGCCAGTTCTCATCTCTAGCCAAGCAACCTGGAAGTAACCTGGAAGTTCAATGAAATTAAGGTTTTTAGTGCTGTTCCCATAATTTGTGTAATCATCACGTACAGCTCTACCACATTACAAAATCAATTGGATTTAATTTAATGTTCACACTAAGAAAGCAGAAGTCATTGCAAAGCCACACTGAACAGTCTTTAACATTCCTCTGTTCCTGAAGATTGGAGCCACCAGTAATTCAGTTTAATTTATGCCCCACGAGCTGCCTAGAAGGCTCCCAACAAATGCCATGAACACAGTTGCTATGGAGGGCAGGGCTGGCCTCCACGGGAAGCTCCATCCCTCATCCTGCACTCACAGCCGTGGCTCTGTCATCCCAGTGCTGTTAAATATGGAAACCACAAGCTGTGAAGGAGTGAAACTCAGCATCACTGGCACCATCCAGCAAAATGTCATCTGCCTCATGTGAGTGGAATCTGGCAGCTCCGTGCATCTCGTCTCAGCTGATTCCTCAGGAAGCCGAGTTCCTGTGATGCTGGTGAGACATGTGCAGAGAACATGGACAAGGAGACCAGGAGGAAATGGCTTGCAGCACCAGCTGGGTGTAATCACATGTCCAAGCTCATGGAAATTCCAGTGGCAGCTGTGTTCAGCAAGCTCAGTTCTTCCTCTCTGGCAGAACTACCTGAAGTGGTCAAACTGTGCTTGCAGGGAGCAATACAAACACCATAGTGTTGTTATTATGGTTCTCAGATTATTTTTCTCACCAAAGCAGCTCTAATGCACAGCAGCTGCCTGGTGTCCCCTGCTGACCATGCATGGTCCATGTGTTCTGTCTGATGCCCCTTCCTCCCCTCACTGATGCCTGCAGCAGGATGGGGCACGAGGCAGCTCCACTCTTACTCCAGCTGCAGTCAGGAGGCACCAGGAAGAATGAAAGGCAGGGAAACCTGGCCTGCAGCATTTTTCCAGTTACACTCTCCTGCCAGATGCATTCAAAATGTGTCTTTCATCACTGCCTGGCACCTCACAGAAGTGTCCATAAAGCAACTCATATCAATATCCAGATTTTCTTTGAGAGTGAGCTCAAAGCCAACAAGTCTGAGCTTGATAACAATGGAGAGATTAAAAAAAAAGAAAGAAAGAGAGAAGAAGCTTTAAAACTGCCCTAGAGCTGCAACTCAGCCAGCCAGAATCTCTGTTTTTCCCTTCATTAAGCACTCAATTTCTAACTACCTTTACCATCTTTAAGACCTTAAAGAAGCACTGCCACTTCCAGTCCTTTTCTCACCTGAAGTTTGCATGAGAAATGTTTTTCAGGGCACAGACCATTCCTGTTTGGGACAGAGACCTGAATATGGGTGCACATCCTTCCCCTCATCTCCCAATTGTGATGTCAAAGCAATGTCTGAACAACAAGGGGAGGAAACCCCAAAACTTTTGGGTTTTAGCTACCTTTGGTGAGAAAAGAGAAATCATGAAAGTTAACCAGCACAGTATAATCAGCCAGAAATTATGAGGTTCCTCACAGCCAGTTGATAAATTAATGGCTTTCAGCTTACAATGAGAAAAGTAACTGTTTAGAATTAACACAAACACTACAGAGTCTTAATGTGAGTCCCATTTTAACCTCAGCTCTTTCTTTGCCAATTTCTGAGGGGCTGAACAGGCTCAATTTACAGTAAAAGAAAAGGCACTTCACTGCACACTTCAAGAGCTGGTTGAAGAATCCATTTATGCACAACTCAGAGCAGGAACCAGCCCAAAATGAAGCTGCATTAAAACCAGGGACTCATCTGATGTAACTGTTGGGGAAAATGCACACACAGACAGATGTCCCAAAAAGATCATCTCTGTGAGAGGGAAGAACCCAGCACAGATACCCAGAGCTGAGCCTGATTCACTTCATGCCAAAAGATGTTGCAATAGTTTTGGGTTTTCTTTTTTCTTTTTTTTCCCCCTTCCTTTGAAATGTGAATAACTTGCAATTTCTTTAAAACACACTCTTCACACTGCAGGAGTACCCACACTTTCTGCCAACAGATACGTGGCAAAGGTGTTTCTCTGATTTTTCTCACTCCACAAATCCTGAGAAATTTTTCTCTTACCTGCACAGGGACTCACTGCAAAGCCCACTCTCCTCTGGGCTCTGTCAAAGATGACATAAAATCCTTCCATGACTGTAGCACCAATGACCAGAGCGTTTGTGGAGGAGGAGATGCCGAATCTGTAGCACTGCAAATTATCTCCTATCACAAGGATGGGCTGAATGTAAAGCTGTTAAAAGGAAAATTAAAAAAAAAATAAATTACACAAATAAAAATAAAGCCAGAGTATAAAAAGCAGCACCTCACAGCAAGTAGAAGTTCAGAATTTTTCATTTTTATAGTTCAGGCACGCAAATTCCACTGGAAATAAAGAATGGATGGGGGCAAACAGATTTTTGTACATTATTTAAAGCTGGTCAAAGCTAACAGGCAGGTAAAGAGGTAAAGCTGGTGGATTTTAAAATGAATTTGAACACAGTCAGTCACTAAATACAGGTCAACAGCAAATTCTCGAGATTTTCACTTTTTACCATATTTTCCATAAGGGAAGGATGGCTGAGGCAGAGCCTGGGAGATGAACTCAAATTAGACTTATTAAAAGAATTATTAGGATGGAGTGGATTCAGAGAGCATTCAGTGTCAGCTGCAAGGTTCTAGATTTTATAAATTCAAGTCACATTTCACCCCCTGTCTCCTCGGGGAAGATGAATGATTGCCAAGCTACATAATCAATACAGAAAAAGCTTATCATAAGGCTTTACTATATTTCAAGTTAAAATGTACTTAATAGGTTCATTCTTTCCTTTGCTCCTGCCTGTCCCTTGAGGTAAAAGAATGTATTAGTAATGTTAGACAATACCAGCCTGTACAGCAACTTACATTGGGAGGAGAAGCCAGAGAAGAAAAACAAAAGTGGCACATTATATTCTAAATATAATGGAATGGATGGAATATTAATAAAAGATAAACCAGGCGAGTTGCAGAAACTGGTGAAGAGCTCACAAAGGGTCATTGCCAAGATTTTCATATTCAGAAGAAGTGCTCCCGCTCAAAATGCCACAAGAAACAAATCAATTCCCTTCCCCAAATGAGAAGATCAAAACAAGCAGAGACATTCTGTATTGACATCTGATGTGGCCAAAGCTCATGAAAACAAAACAGAAACTTGCCTGTTTTTCCAGACAAATTGAAAAAAAATCATTCCCAGCTAGATGGACTGCACTGAAAGGGAAACTGTGCTTTGTCCCTTTCCTTCTTGCTTTTAGGTTTGATGAGTTTGTTATTTTCCATATTTAAAAACTGATTTTTAAAATTTGATTAAAAAAGGTTTCCTTTGCATTCAATAAGCCAGTTCCCTGTTAATGCTAAAAACAGCTCTTATTTCTTAAGAGCATGTGCTTCATAATACTATGTACTATTTTATAATAGTAAAAATAAATGCAAAGATGAATAAACAAAGAGACCTGTGGTAGGATAGAGATCCGAAACGACCTACTGGAGTTTTCATCCCTCAGGTAAATGGAGAGTTTGGGAAATAAGGACCAGGGTTTTTCACTTCTATCCCAGCATGCAAGCTGTGTGCCAGTCCAGAATTCCGAGGAGAATTCTTGTATCTGTAAAACAAACCAAACAAACAAAATTATACTTACAGGTTCAGCAATTTTGATAGGATTTTGTGAATCACTACCACTGTTTGATACTTCTTCCATTTCAAAATTATACTTAGAGGTTACAGCCATTTTGATAGAATTTTGTGAATCACTGCCAGTGTTTGATACTTCTTTAATTTCCATGGAGAAATTCAAGAACACAAATCTGAGCTGCTTCTTTAAAGACCAAGGCAAAAACCCAAACCCCAACCAAGGTGTGTCATGACCCAGCATGACCTGGAGAAGGGGGAAGAGGCAAAAGCAAGTTTGGCTCTCCCTTCTCTCCCCGTTTTTGTCCCATTATTTCCTCTACTGCAGTGAACACGTGGCCTCCCTGAGCAATCACTTCCACAATGGGATTTTTCTGCCTCCCTCCCTCCCCTCTGACCAAGTACCAATGGTTTTGCATTTTACATTCTATAAAAAACACAAACCAAAGCACAAACCACGTGAATGTATCATGAGATATGAGGTCACCTCCCTTCCTCATGCACCTACAGCTTCAGAGTTTTGAAGCCAAGGGCTAAGCCAAAAATCTCCTGGCATCTGAGGGAATCAAGGTTTGCTGTAAAGGAAAGAAACACACCCTCTGTTTCTTCTGAAGCCCTGTCACTCCCTACCAGTACAACCTGGCATGCTTTTGAAATAAAACCGATTAACAGTATTTTGTAACATATCCATGGAACTAACAAAACAAAAAGCCAACCCCTACAGAGATTGTTTGGCTAAGACAAACATCTTGCTCAATGTTCCTGCTCCCTGAAGGTGACCTGCTGCCAGATCTCAGCAAAACCCTTCCTCATTTTACTGCATTTCTTTGGCTGGTTCTTGTTCCCCCACAAAGCAGCAGAAAGGAGGAGCTTGGTCTGAGGCTGCACAGCCAAAGGCTCCCATCTGGGTGAAGGAAATAATGGAACCCAGCCTCTGCACTCTGCTCACTTGTATTTATCTGTGAGATGGATTATTCTGTAAACACCAGCTCATTCATTAAAATATGGCATTTTACAGGGGACAGGCACTCACCTATTGCCACACCTGCCAATGAAGGGTTTGTTAGGGATGCACAGAGACTCCTGTCGGGGTCTCTGGTCAATGTGACCCCAAGAAGAGTTGGAAAGTCTCTTTTCCCAGCCTGGCAGTTGAAGAAGGACTCAGGGCTCTTAATTTCTCGGTCTCAAGGCTGTTTATTGTATCTTATCTGTAAAAAATTTTCTCCTGCCCTGCTGAGGTCCATCCAGCAGGACAGTTCCAGGCACTCTGCCTGCCCCTGGGGCAGTGTTATCTTTTTATACTAAAAACTACATGTACAATGTTTACAATTCCTTCCCAATACCTATCACCTATGTTAGACAGTGAGCTCCTACTCTAAACCAATCTGAAAGTGCCAACATCACAGCAGAAGATGAAGGCCCAGAAGAAGAAGGAGAAAGGCTGGACATGCCCAGATCCCTCCATCTTGCCTCCGGAACCCCCATACCAAAAACCCTAAAATCTTCTTTTTCACCTGGTGATAAATTCACTATTATTCTGCCTAAACTGTTGTGGCTTGCTGATCTTCATCTAAGGTTGGTTTTTTTTCCATGGGTCATAATCAAACCCACAGGGGCATCTTGGGCTCTGTGCCAGGGTCTCTGAGACCCCTGGCAGGGGTCTTCGCATACAGGACAGCCAGAGGGGTGTCCTGGGTTCCCACAACTCCTTCCCATTTCCAGGTGCTCTGCTCTTGGGCCTCAGCAAGCCCAGACTCATGTGAACAAGGAGATTTCCCACCACGAACAGGCCTTTTACCCTGAACTCTCAGCTCCTGCTGAAGGGCATCCCTTGGCACAGGGCAGGACACTCTTCCCTCACAGCTGAGTCCCAGGCCAAACCTGCTGAGAAATACAGTTCTCCTCTCTTTCTGTTTGGTCTTGAAAAGCAGATCTGAGAAAAATTGCAAGGTACCACCCAGCCAGGTCAGGCCAAGCCTACAAAGTGCTCTGCTTTAAGGGCCTGCTTTAATTTCCCAGAATGATTGCTTAATGCACTGCATTTCTTTTCCTTCCTTCTGCACACTGCAGCAATGCATGTGGGAGATTTGAGTGCATGATCCCCAAAAGGCTGTTAAAATAAAGATTTTAGGATTATCTGAGCCTTCCTGTGTTCAACTTTTTAACTGAACATTATATTCCTGCTGTCCTGACTTCAGCTCAGTGAGGTGTAGTAGGTGTAGTATCTGCCAAAATCACCACCCTTCAACACCAAACTGCATCATTACAGCTGCTCCCTGAAAGCCTTCAGTCTAAATCATTTAAGTTAAAAAACCCATCTGCACCACTGAAGAGCTCACAGCCTTGTTTTTGAACTGAGCTGAATAAAGAAATGTGTCACACACAGTTATCCCAGTTTGTCTGAGGGGGAAATAACACCTGGCTGGGTGCTCATAACAAGCTATGAGGAGCAGGAACTTGTTAACCTGGCTCACCTGTGGTCAGAAAAGTGTGTCTGACTACAGCAGATGATTTTATTGTTTTTTTCAGTGGTACATCTCCTGCCAGAAGCACAGAGCTGCAGTACAATTGGTGAAAATACCCATTTTCCTGACATTGCTCCTACACAGCTGGAATCCCATTCCTGCACCCTGTAACTACTTTTCTTATTTAGCAGACTCCCTTGTTTTGAGCTGTCAAGCTAAATTCTGGGCTGTGTGGAGGGAAAGGGGTCCTAGAGATTAAAAAGAACTCAGTAAAAACCGCTGCTTTATGCATTTTTAATAGGAAAAAAAAAATAAGTAGAGTGAATGGTTCCCTTCTAATACCTTATTGATCTATCCACAGTTTCCCTGGGAGGTGGAAGGCCCCAGTTCAAATGTCCTGACAGCATCAGAGGGGGATGTGGGTCACTGTGACACTCCCCAGGAGGATTCCTTATCCACAGGGTGACATTACAAGAGTTCCTGGGCTGGATTCTTTCAATTCTGCCCCCTGGGACTGAAATTGTTCCAGCCAACACTTGAGTGTTGTGCAAAGAGGAGAACTCATAACTGGTACATTTATTTCAGATCCTGGACATCTGCAGGCAGTGAAGGACACTTCATGCCAAATCTCTGCTCTCCATCAAGCAGGAAAAAGGATCTCAATCTTGAATTATCAGCACACAGGCAAACACTGTCTTTGGGGCAGCTGCTTTACTGTGTTCCCTGTGGTTTGCATCAGCAAACCACTGGCTGATTGTGAGTCCATGACAAAAATGTCAAGTTTGTTCACACTAAAATAGCTGGTGTTTATTCCTCCTCTTTAACCTTCTTGGTGCTGTTGCTTGTATTGAACAAAAATTTATGAATAGTTTTTATTAACCAGAAAATGCTGCCTCAGCCACTCTGCACACAGAGAACTCCAGCATCCCCTGGCCCTACTGCTAAAGCCCACTCTGTTCCCAAAGAAAGATGCTTTTGAACATAAATAATTCAATAATGAAGGTCAAAAGCAGCTTTATTGATATGAATAATCATAATGAATGACATTTATTCTAGACAGCACCAAGAATTATACTTGGAAAGGAATTGCTTGCAGCAGCAGGTTCTCCCACTTTACAAACACTGTTTTGAATGAAAAGACTGAGTTTTGCACTCTTAATACTTTGAATTGGAGCAACAGGGATTATGTCTGTGTTTCTGAAATGCTTAGAATAAAATACACCATTTCTGGCCTATTTCTGATGCATTTCCACACTCAACACTTCTTGTCTGCACTTGTGTGTCACAAACATCTTTTCATGAAAAATCCTTTCCTTAGGATTTTTCCTCCTGAGAATCTGAGAGGCCTCAGGAAGAAAATGCAAGCAATGATTATCTGCTGCTATGGAATGCAACAGGTGCATCTGTGATTGGCCTCATGTGGTTGTTTCTAATTAATGTTAGATCACAGCCCAGCAGGCTCGGACTCTCTGTCTGAGACAGAAGCTTTTTTATCATTCTTTCTTTTTCTATTCTTAGCCAGCCTTCTGATGAAACATTTTCTTCTATTCTTTTAGTATAGTTTTAATATAATATATATGATAAAATAATAAATCAAGCCTTCTGAAACATGGAGTCAGATCCTTGTCTCTTCCCTCATCTGAGAATCCCTGTGAACACCGTCACACTTGTGCCCCCCCTTTTCCCTCCTCCCCCTTTCCATCAAAGTAATTTCTCCCTTATTAACAGGGCTAGACCAGGGAAATTTCTGCTCCCCTAAGGTGCAAAACCCACGACTTGCAAGCCAGGCAGCAGAGCTGACACCCCTTTCAAAGCCCCTGTGATCCCTGAAGAGGAATTTCACATTTCTGAGCAGGTCTCATGGCATTTTCTTACCAGGGATGTGCGAGCTATTGCCTGCACCACAGCACTGAAGACTTTCTCTGGCAGTCGAAGCAGAGTGGTTCCACTGTCTACTATGGCTTTATCAGCATTGTACTGGGCAGGGGAGAGAAAAAAAGAGAGAGAAGTTGTAAGCTGTAGTTACTGTAATGCAGATCCCAGTGTCTCCTGAGCAGAACAAAGCTGCTCCTTTTTGGCAGCTGCCTTCCCAGAACTGCATGTCATACTTGTCAGCAGCTCTCTCCAGCTGACAGCTTCAATTCCAGTGAAATCTGAGAGAAAAAAAAAAAAAAAGGCAAAAAAAAGCAAGATACTATCAGATACTATCAGCCTAGACACAAGAGTGAGTTTATCTGCACCGGTCAGGAAATTACTGTGTCACCACAGCTGGTGCAAACGGTCTCACTGCTGTAAAAAAGTGAATTCTGGCTCCTCTCAGAGGGAGCAAAAGTATTTTGATATTCAGCAGAGAGATGTTAAACACCCTGATGCAGATTTCAAGCCCTGAATCGGGGTCTCTGCTAGCATGAGAACAGCTCTAGTTTAAACACAGCAACCAGTTTTAATGACTGGCATATCTAATATAAGAATAGGCAGAAAAAATTAGGTCTCATTACACATCTGTACTGGCTCAAGACTACAAATGTCACACCTTTATCCCTTGACTGCTGAAAACCCCTAAAACACAAAAAAAAACCAAATACGAAGAAACTTGAAGTTTGTCTTGCTGCCTTAAAATCTGCACAAAAAACCACCCATAAGAGAGCAAACGCCTCTCTTATTACTGTAATGCTGTTCAACCCTAAAATTAAGAGACCTCAGCAAACTTCAGGTACAGTCAATGAGGTATAAACTTTTAAAAGGATAAATCTTTTTTGATGGACTCCTTAAAAACTATGATTAAGTGTTGGGGGAAAAAAAAGGCAAGTAGCAGTGGCAGCTATTTGCATTAACTACTTTTGCTGCCAGCTTAGGCAGAAGGATTAATATAACTGAGCTGTGACATGTTTATGGCATAATCATAAGACACAGGATGATATACAGCCTAAGCTACTTAGGAAGAGGTCAAACAGCAAGTGAAATTTAAATACCCTGGTTTGGATGTTATCAAGTCACATGGAGTCCCTTTAGGGCAGTGACAGAAATAAAACCCACCAAAAAAAGTCAGAAAAAGTAACTCTTGACAGATATTTCCACATTTTTTTGAAAGAGCTGCTATGGGGCTGCCATACAGAGCTGACAGAAAAGCAAACAGGAAATAATTTATTGCACACTTGGGAATATTTCTAAAGAGTGGAAAGAAATGCCAAGGCCTTTTGGAGTCCATTTTAACAGATTTGTACCACAAAATACACAATCCCTGGCATCCTGGAATACATGGGAAAAATGTATTTTTCCCACCCTTGGAAAAAAAAAAAGGCAGTTATAAGGGTTGACCGTTGATATAAACCTGTGCAAAAATCTGGGAGTAGTGGGATTGCTCACAGGGGGACTGAGCAGCTGGTTTTGCCTTCTTGGCTTGGCTGGTTAATATTTAGCAGTGCAAAGTGCTGTGCTGGAGCCCTGGACACATTCCCAGCACTGGAGCAAGGGGACAGCTTTTCCCTGGCAAGGAAAGGAAAGGAAAGGAGCAGTCCCTGGTGATGGCTGTGAAACAAAAATGTTCCATTTCCTATGAAACAACAGAGAGGAGAGAGGGCACAGAGCTCCTCATCCCAGAGTGAGTCATGCATCCTCTGCACACTTGTGCTGCTCCTGTTTCACTGCTCTTCCTCTGAATTTCTCTGGAATTTCTGTGGGAAGGTCTCCTTTGATCCTTCTGCAGCAGTGAGAGCAACCCCTGGCTCAGAAAAGAGCAACAATTACAGGAAACTTTCCTGACACACAGCTGAATTTTTCAGTGAGTTGTTTTCTGGCAACTGCATGTATTAAAGCACTGAAGGGCTCCCCTTCAAAAAACATGTTGGCTGTTTTTAAGGCAAGAAAGAAAAGCAAACATTTGTTTTAAGGGACCAGTGGTTTTGCTTTCCTAACTGCACAATACAGAGAGGCATTTAAATAGACCTTGTTCTGCTTATTGAGTTGAAAGATGCTGTGACTCATTTTAAATAATTGATATGGCAATATGATTTCAATATTTTGCATGGGAATATAATATTTATGCACATGTAGTACTGGAATCATGAATTTCACTTAATTTATATGAACTATAAAAACTTTAAACTTATCACATCCCATTGATCTCCAACTAAGAGCATCAGTGTAGAATGAAATTAGGATGTCTAAAGAAATTGGGGCATAAAAAATACAGAACTAAAATCAAAACATGAATACCAACAAGCAAGAGTAAGAAAGAGATAAAGCACAAACATGCACATATATCCTCCACAAAAAAAAAAAAAGAAATGCCTTTGGAATAAACATTGCAAGAGCACAGCCTCATTAGACTGATCTAGATACAGCAGAACATTATTCCTAACAGAAACAGAAAGCTTATCCATCAGGAATAATAACTGCCAGCCTCAAGAGAGCAAAAGTTGATTTTGTACATAAGAATAAAAGAAGAACAAGAACATAAAATAAAAAAGGCAGCCTAGGATGAGAAGTTCAGGAAGCAAACCAGGGTTGCTCCTGTCCATGCCATCACGAGCTGTGAGCTCAGACAGCTCTACAGGCTCAACCCAAAACCCCCCATTTCCCTTGTTTGACCAGAATTGCTTTAATTCACTTCTCAGGACACTGCAAAGCACATCTGCTTGCCAAGACAAAACTGACCAATCAGTTTTGTTGTTTTGTTGTTTTTGAAATGCAAGCCCAACTTGCATTTCACATCCCAGGGCCAATACCTCTCTGCAGTCCAGCTGGAGGTTCTGTCCCCCCACCTCCAGCTTGAGGATTTCCACCTGGTAGTACCACTCCTCCTTGATGGGTGTGTACCAGATGTCCCCCGTGTACAGGCTGGGCTCAATTCCACCCAGCACCTAAGGGAAAGGAGAAAAAAAAAGTCAATTTAAAAGAAGTCACATGTTTAGTTTTACAAGAAGTCACATGTTTAGTTTTGGGGCAAGTGCACATAAAAAAGGGGGATGTTTAATTTGTGATACTCAGGGGCATCAAAGTTTTAATTTAGCATCATTTGTTAGGATTTTGGTGTCAAGTTCTCTGTCAATAACAGAGCAGTACGAAACATTAAACAGACTGCTCTTCAAACGGAATTCCCATACTGGGCCAAATTATCAGCATTTTCACCTACAGCCTCACACTGATTCCATTATGAAAACTCCACTGTTTTAATTTTAAAACCAGCATCTTCAGTGGATAAATCTAGGCAATGTATAAAAATGGGACAGAATAATAAACTTACATGTGAATAATTTGTTTTATCCGACCATAAAAGCTTTAATACTGCCTAAAAAGATTTTATTTTTTCTTACACACATCCAAAATGGAATCTCATCCTGTCACTGCTATCACTTTTAGCTTCCATCAAAACCCAGGCAGAGGAGGGCCGGGAGCATTTGTGGATGCTCTGACTCTGAACTAAACTTAAGAAAGTTCTCTGTTGGTCTTCAGTTACATGAAAAACATTTACAATATGTGAATTCTTCTCAAAATAAGTGTTTGTGATCAGCTCCCGTGCTGAGATGTTTATTCCAGCATCATGTGGGAACAGTCATTCCATCTCCCAATTCCAGATATAGAATGGGCCAATTCATGGTTCCATTGAAGATGATGGAAAGACTTCCCAGAGTAACAGCAAGCAGGAGATCTGATCTACAGATTTTCCACTTTAATATGTTATTGACCAAAAAAAAAAAGAGGAAAAAAAAAAAAGAAAATACCCTTGATTCCTCTCCCCCTTTTCACATCACATAAAACAAAAATACTGTAGCATTTTGATGAGATTGAACAAATTTATCAGCTGCATAAGGGACTACTCAGTTTGTGAAATATAGCAGAATCTGCCCTGAGGAAACACCACAACATTCATGTTTTTCTTTGTTAAAAGATGAAAGTTTACTCAAACTTGAGAGAGGAAAAAAATAGAATTAAGAATAAAAATAAATAACACTCAAATTTTGCCTAAGGGCTTAGCTTTTCTTTAAAAAAATACAAAACACGTTTAAAATGCAAAAATATCTTTAAACACTAAATTTGGCAGAAGCAGGATAGTCAGAGAAAAGAGGGAGAGAGATGAACAGAGATACATTTTCCCTCTCCTACTGACAGATACCCACAAGACTACCTCCGTTGGTACCACTTCCAGAAACAGGGAGTCCAGCACCACACATCTGCAGGGAGAAAATGTTGGGGATCTTTGCCTGCTTCACGAGGGAATCAAAGAATGTCTCCACAGAACTGGAAGGCTTCAAGGTGGTGAAAAGCAAAACAAAAAAAAAAAAAAAAGAATTTTAGGGTTCGTTTGAAAGTTACTTTGCAGAAATCAGCAAATCATTCAAACAAGGACACTTTTCGTGAGTAAACTGAATTTCTGACAAGGAGCTGATGAAGGTTCTAGACATAATAAGCCATTAAAACCCCAATATCTGTAATTTTTCTGTTTTTGTTGTTTTTAAAAATGTTTTTACTCTTGACCACTGTTAGTGCTGCTGCCACCAAATCTCTAAAACACAGGAGTAATATTCAATTGCAGTTTCCAAAAAACAGAGTTTGAGCTTGGCAGAAACTCTCACTGGTAATTTCTGTTTGGGAAGATCTTTGTGTTGTTAGAACACTCTTGCCTTTCACTCCTTCCCATGGTTAAAAAGCAGAATTTTCAAGTCAAGGTTTTCAGTTTTTCAACACTGTTGAATTCTAAGGAACTTTGAGTTGAGTGGCCCAAATTTCCTCTCTTTTCTCGTGAAGAATTTCATACCCAAGCACTTTCTCTCCAGCTGGGTGCTGGCCAGGTTCTTCCTGACACTGCAGGTCCTGTTTTCCTTTGCAGTCACTGGAGTGCTGTAATTTCCCTGTAACTCAGATTTGTGTGCAGGGAGGTCAGAGGGGCCAAGTGCTCTCACTGCACACAAAGCCCAGAGCAGCCTCAGAACACAACAACCCTGAATTCCTTGTTAGAACGGAAGAAAAAATGCCCTGAGTACTCTGTTTGCCCAAAGCAGAGTCTGAGAACAGCTTCCCTTCTCCTTCTTCTCCTTCTCTCCTTTCTCACTTTGGGATGTGAAGGTTGAAAATGGTCAATTGTCATTTTCCAATCCTGTTTTCAGTTTTACACTTTAAGGCTATACATTTTGGATTATACGCTTCAGGTTTTAATTGAATCTTCTACCCGAATTTCCTGCCTCCAGAGGAGCAGGATGTGCTTGGCTCTGTGTTCTTGGAAATACTGCAACTAATATTTGTTCTGGAATTATCCATCCACCTCTTGTGGAAACCCAGAGCACACAGGGAATATTTCTGTGTCTGCTCTGGGGTGCCCTGACCCCCAGGGCAGCACTGACTCTGACCCTCATCCATGGAGAGTTTCCTAAACTTCAAGATAGACTGGAATCCACAAAAGTGTGAAACAGATTATAGAGAGCAGTGTAGGTGTATCACTTGGTGAGAAATTGATGGTTTGAGGTTTTTAGTATGTTGTGGATGGAAGCAAGATGGAGGGCACAGGGTGTTGTCCTGGGTTTCTTCTTCATGCTTCATCTTCCTCCTTCTCCATGGGTTTGGGTGGCATTTTGTAATTGGGCAGAAAAGTCCCCATTGCAGCTCTTTGGGATCAGTTATTGGGGTAAAAGGGAAATAATCCAGGTGTCAGTTCTTCATTGGATAGTTCAGTCTTAAAAGACCTTGTACCAAGAGATTGTTGGCCATTTTGTGCCTTCTAATGAAAAGCTGCAGAACTCACAGCAGTGAGACTGTTTTACTGATAAGAAATAATAAACATCTGAGTGTGAACATGAAACACGATCTCAAGGGCCTTCAATCCAGACCCAGAGAAACCCACAAATGGAACCCCAGCACACCTCAACTTTTACTTGATGAACAGAGAATGTCCTAGAATGAACTGCTGAGGATTTTGCCTTGGACCAGTTGTGAGAAGCATCCTCAGAGCTCTAAAACCTCCCTCCACACACATCCCACAACCACACTCTGGTACTACAAACTCTGTAAAAGATTATTCATTCCAGAGAAGCTAAAAGCAGCATTTCCATCACCAAAAAAGCCAAAATCCCCTCATGGGACTGTGGTACCACCACAACCCAGTTTATTCTTTCTGGAACAAAGGCAGAGGATCTGTAGGAAGGAGTGGCTGGAAGGGTGGAGCCTAATGCTGACAGATCATCAGCTGGCTTGATTTTAACACATTTCTATTGATATATTATATAATAATATTCGATGATTATTCCATTTATTGTCCTTGTGAAAGACAATAGGGAGGAAGGGATGGTTTACCTTGGCTAAGGCATCGTAGGCAAGGCCCAGGATCCCGTGCCACTTAACCCCTGGCAGGAAGAAGTTCTCTGACTCCAGGATGGTGGCAATGTTGATGGTGTAGCTGCCATAGAGTCCTTTGGGCATGGTGATGACATCTGTGCCCAGCATTCCAGTCCAGCTGCCTTGGCTGTACTTCACTGTCACCTCCACCCCTTGAGATCTGTATGTGCTTGACCTTTAAAAGGAAAGGACACACTGATGCACGGGCTGCTCACTTACAATGCAAGACAACAGAATATATTCCAACTCAATTTTGGCCAGAGAGGGGAAAAAAAAGGTAAATTAAGTATGTAAAATATGTATTCATACTGCTCCTAAAATCAGGAAAAAGCAGAAATTAAAAAACCCCAAAAGTCAAAGCCCCATTTTTGTCCAGAAGCCAGAAACTCAGCTCTTCACAATGTGTTTTTTTTTTAAAAAATAAATAATGTAAGATATTATGTCATCTAGTGCACTGTCCCTGACTCAGACTGGTGCATAGAAGCAACACTTTTTAACTGGAGAAGGAATGTATTAAATGGCACAAGAAAATAGAAAGCTGCTGAATTCAAATCTAAAACTGAAATGCAAAGCTAACTGAATAGCTGTAGACTAATACCTTATTAAAATTCCTAAAAGATCCCTTTTGGGTAAATTGGAATACTACTGTGAGTACCAGCAGTAAGACAGAGGTTTCCTAAATCTGCGGTTTGACCTATCTGTGAGGAAGTAAAGTAGAATTTGATATTCACTGACTTGGAGGAGAAAAGGAACTAATTTTTTTTAGACCACGGAAGCAAAGGCAAAGGAGCAGTTAAGTGTGGCAAGCAAAAGAAGGAACTGAATCCTCTTTAAAATGCTTTAAAAATAGTAAAATCTTCAATAGATTTTTCATTTTAAAGACCTGTAATCCACAAGTATTGTTATCACGTCCCACACACATCTCTACTGAAGAACTTCAAAAGTTCTAGATCCCTCACAATTTACTTTGGATCCTCTCTTGGCACACAGCTTCCTCTTTTGGAGAGACAGATGACCACACTCAGTTCATCTCAAAAGACTTTTCACAGCTTTTTGGGAAGTAAATTCGGGGGCAAAAGCATAAAATAAATTTATAACAGCATCTTTACATGTGTGTAGAACAATAGAAAGGGCAAGGGTTTATCAGGTGCAGATACTTTGATCAATCCAGCTTTAATCTGGATTCAACAACCACATGGAGTGGCTTCACAGGCCCTGTGCCTGAGCTCACCAGCATGAATTTGGAAAATTATTGAACAATTTTCATTATTATAAGGAATAACCTTCACATGGCACCATGGACAAGTCCTGTAATTCCAACAGTTTCTCCTGGGGAACAGTTTGGCCATATGGACCATGAACTGACTCTTCCAAGGCAGGAGGCCAGGCTCTAACCCTATATGCAGTTCTTGACACTCCCAAAACCTAACCCTTCAAGGGTTAACATCCAAGACAGCAGAAATACATGAGATAATATTTCAAAATGCAGGAATTTCAGGTAATAGCAGTAATACCTGCACCTGATCACTTCCACTGCTTCTGTGTGATTCTGCACTTGTGTGACACACAAAGGAACATCTCTGCTCAGGCAGGGTCCTCAGAACACCTCTGTGACACTGGCAGGACATTTTATAAATCAAAATAGAGTCTGAATAATTAGCAGCATAAGGGAAGCAAGAAATGAAAGGGAGAATGCTTTTCTTCATGGGGAGAAGTGCCTGGCTGAGCAGCAGAAGAGGAAACATCTGAAATCAGAGAGAAAACTGAGTGCTGGGAGAATAAAGTGAAGCAAATCTGCAGATACAAGCAGTGCATGACTAGAACAGCAGCACACAGCTCTTCTTCCAGAAGCAGGAAGAGCTGTGGACCAGGACACAGAAAGACTGGATTCACTTTCCAGCACAGCTGCTGACCTTTCTTGCTTCCTCACCATTTGTGCCTCAGCTTAACCACCTGTAGAAATGGATATGAACACACTCATCTCATTTGTAAAGTTCACAAATGTCATATTGAAGAGAAGACTTTATTACTTCCTTCAAGGAGCAAAATTGGTAACATGGGAAGGCATCTTGGAGTAAATTCTGTTCTGCAAAACCACTTCCCCATCCTCTTGCAGGTAATCAACCACAGGTTTTTTTCACCTTTCCACCTGACTGATCTAAAGGAAGAAAACTTTAGAGGTCAAAACTAGAGACTAGTTGTGATTCATGGGCTGAGTGTTGTAAAACAAACACACAGCACGGAAAAGAAAATTACAAACAAGCTGTTTTGGCTGTGATGAGGAAAGAAGAAATTCACATCTTCCAGCAGGACAAAGTAGACAGAGGCAAGGAATAAGGGTTCCTAGACCATGGTCCTGTAGGGATCCTACTCCCTTGTCCACCTCTTTCCCATTCCTATCTTCTCTCCAAAGCAGCCACCAGAAACTTGGTCCACAAACCTCACATGGATCTGGAGCCCCAGCTGAGCAAACCAGCAATGGGGTAATTTCCTCTTGCAGAGTTCATCCTCATTACCAGCACACAGCACAGAACAAAACACCACCAAAATCTTATTTCTCATGTCACAATCCCTATTGCAGCAAGCTCAACGTTGGCAACAGCAAATCCCCCATGTGCACGAAGCCCTGCCTAACACTGACCTCACCAAACAACTTTAAGACAAAGCAAACATGAAAATACAACAGAAATTATTGATTTCTAACCAAGAAGTCCCATCTAATCTGCAGGGCTTCCACAAAAAGTTTATAATTCACCCCAAACCACAACCTGTACAGTGCACACAACCATCCTGGCAGGATTACACTGCAAAAGCAGCAAAACAAGCAGCAAAAAGCAGCAAAACGAGTTTCTTTTGTTTGATGGTGTATAACTTATTGTATTACCTCAATTTATTGCCTGTATTTCTCTTACCTCCCTATCTCTTGGAAAGATCAGCTCTTGAGCAGCTTGCTTTTGAAGCTTCAGATAGTGAGGCAGTAGCACTTTTTATTTATTTACTGAAATAAAACTGAATACTGTTCCTGAATACTGAAAGCCCTGAGCATGTCAGATTTACATACTGCTGCAGAGCCATCACTGATCACTTGGGTTCAAGTGTAAAAATCCCTTTATATGTCTGTTTAAGTAGCTCTTTTATCATAAGTAGAGTACTCAACAAAACTACTTGTTATTTTCAACAGCACGAGAAACAAACACAGTGATTTCTTTTCAGATCAGGACAAATCAGGTAATTTTGCAAAACCTTATACATCATGGTGACTTATAGAGCATGATTATCACAGCAAACTCAGAACTTTTTACAGCAAAGGTTTGTCAGAGCCACTCAAAAGCCCAAGTTGTAAAAGAGTGCATGGTAACAGCTTTACTCACTTTGTAAAGAAAGAGCCAGATAATTAAACAGCAGGATTATATCATAAAGATTATGTGATACACAACATAATTTAACAAGTTAGTTCTGGAATTGCTCCAGGAGGGCTCTTTCTGAAAAACACACTCTCTGGGTCCTTTGAAACAAAGATAATGCCTCTCCCATGCACCCCCCTCAATTTCAGTCAAAAAAGAATCATGCATTCAATTTCTGATTTTGATCATCTGAATAAAATTAAACTAAGAGTGTGGCACCAGGAAATTAAGCCCCATCACTCTCTCCAACACAACATGAATATTCTAATAAGCACACATCTATAACTCATAACCCATTAATTTAACAAATTACTAATCTTTCTTCCCCCCTTGTCTTCAACTTGCAGTTTAAGACGTCGGAAGCACTACATGACAATATAGGGAAAAACTGCAGGAGTGATTACCAGATGAGAGGAAACCCCTTTATCTAATCTCAAGTGTTCTTCCTAGGAAGGAATACAAGTGCCCATAGGTTGTTTTTCTCATTTACACATGGGCAAAGGTCACTCTTGGGTAATTTTACAGATCCAGCTGATGTGGTATCAATGCCACTTGTTTACCATCCCTGCAAAATCATGACAGCCAAGCGTGCTGCTTTGGGCTGGTGATGGAGTTAATTTTCTTCGCAGCAGCGAGCACAGGCTGTGTTTTGGGTTTGTGCTGGAAACAGAGTTGAAATATAGAAATGTTTTTGTTATTGCTGAGCAGCTCTTGCACAGAGCTGAGGCCTTTTCTCCCTCTCACCCCACCCCCAGCACTGCCAGGCTTGGTGTGCATGAGAATTTGGGAGGGGACACAGCCAGGTGACGCCAGGGATATCCCACACCTCAGCATGTGCAGCTGGGGGAAGAAGGGAGAAATGTTTGGGGTTTTGGTGGAGGAGCGGCTGTGTGGGGCTGAGTCGCCATCAGGGTTTAAATCACAATGCCAGGGAAGGTGTTCTGACTGCTGGGCAAAGTCTACCCTAAGCCAGTCTCAAAAAGAGACAAACAGCAGCACCCAAGGAAGTAGAGGTGACTGGGCTGCACCTTCAGTCAGGAGAAGTCTCAGATAAAAGCTCCTGGAATCTGTTTCCAAGCATGTGAAGGACAGTCATGGAGTCACAGCCATATCACACCTGACCCATCTCACTCCCCTCTAGATCAGGACTGGAGGCACAGATGAGGAGAACCGTGGCTGTAGCACATCTTGGCTCCTGTCAGGCTTTGGACACCAGCTCCCATGGCATTCCCATTTGGAAGCTGAGGGTGTGGGACTGAACAAGCCAGCCATGGTGTGGGCTGAAGGTGGGCTGCACCCCTGGGCCCAAAGGAGCCACTGACTTGTGACAAGCAGAGGCCTAGGGTTTGTGAGTGGAGGAAAAACTCCACAGCCTGGAGAAAAGGAGGCTCAGGAGTAACTTTGTCTTTACAAGGCCCTGGCAGGCAGCCAGGTGAGAGTCAGGCTCTTCTCCCATGCAACAGGAACAGGACAACAGGACACACAGAAGCTGTGCTGAGAGAGCCTCAGGCTGGACTCCGGGAGGAATTTCATAATGGAAATGGTGGTTAAACACTGGAAGGGGCTGCCCAGCAAGGTGGTGGACTCATCCTCCCTGGAGGTGTCCAAGGAAGGCCTGGAGGTGGCACTCAGTGCTCTGGGGTGGTGACAAGGTGGGGATTGGTCACAGGTTGGACTTGATGGTCTTGGAGGTCTTTTCCAACCTCAGTGACTTTGTGGTTCTGTGAAGGTCTTCATCAAGAGCCTACATGAAGGACAGACTGCACACTCAGATCTGCATCAAAGGGAGAGGCTGCCATGGCCCCAGTTACAATTTTTGAGGTTCAGGTTTCCACAACAGGGAATATTTCCTCCCCAGGACACTGTGGCATGGCACCCTGCCTGGACAGAGCATGGATTCTCCATCCTCAGAGGTTCACAGGTCTTGGCTGGGCCCAGTCATGGCTCGGCTCACCTGCTCTGGTGACAGCCCCAGCTCATTTTAGGTGTGTGACAGGTGACCTACAGAGCTTTCTTGCAAGCAACATTTTTAGAAGATCTACCTGATTTCACTGGGGCCAGGATCCCTCCAATTTATTTATTTAAATGTAGTTAAAATATTCAAAATGGAAGAAGCATGGTGTATCCAGAAATCTGCTGATGTTTGTATTGTGAGCCCACTGCAAGACTCCATCAGTGCAACCCAAACAAGAAACTCCTGCTGCAATTGCTCTGGACTTGATTGACTTTTAAGTAATGACTTAAAATCAAGTAATGACTGGATTCGAGTAATTTTAACAAACTCTTTAGGGACTGGACTTCAAGGTTTCATTATTGACCTTATATTAAAGTTCTCAAAACACAGTGTTCACTGAGAACATTATCAGAGGCTGCAACCTTCACGTGATTTCAGTCTGTCTTTCCTCACACATAAACTCTGCTGTTGCTGTTTCTACTGGTTTGTGTTTCTGATGAGAGAGGCCTTGTCCTTCCAGTCTCAATAACATCATTAAAGAGAAAGAATCCTTGTGCTTTTAATTCTTTCAATTAAGTTTTCTCTAGCCATTGCCTATGGGAGGGGATAGCTGGCCCGCAGTAGTGCAGAAATAGCCATCAAGTAGTATCAGAAATACCTCTCCAAGATTCTGGATTTTCCAGACCTATCATATCAGCATGATGTGAAATATCTCTATTAACATCTAAATATATGACAGGAGGTGAGGCTACTCCAGTAAGCAGCATGGAAATAATAGATCTCCCTCCATTCCCAGTGCATCTTACTGGAAAAAAAAAAAAGTGTAAAACTCCATGTTAAAACACATGTGAGGTAGTGAGAAGGGTGATACTTCCCAGTTTCCCAGCACTCTTAGTATTTTTATCCATATGTTTCAGCTAAAGATAGGCACTGCATTTTGGAGTTTACCTGAAATAATTGAAACTAGAAAAAGGCAGAAAGGGAGGAAGGAAGAAGTGTGATTTAGACAGACAAAGCTTGGCTGTGATTAATGTCAGCTTATGCTAAACACAGCAAATTTAGCGCATAACAAACACCAGAACCACCAAGTATTTTATAAATAACCAGATTCATCAGGGTCTGTCGAGATCACTGACTGATTGAGGCCTGTGGCCAAACTGAACAACAAATTAGGTTTTGACTAAGTAATTTTGCTTCTGGATGAAATGTCAAGTAACTGATACAATTACCAGCTTTTAATTTTTGTTTTCAAACAGAGGCAAAGCATATTGAAACTTTTAATTCCTTGCAAGTCTATTCAGGTAAGAAATTGACTGAAATTGGTGTGATTTTTGCAAATGATTTTTACCCTGTAATCATCTTCTCTTTCCTCCAGTTCTAATTAGTGCTGCTGATGTTCGCTCAGAGCTCAGCTGTGCCGCCACCAGTGGGGCTGCTCTTGGTGTCAGGCATCAGGCAAATCCAAAATTCCCACCAGGCAGCCAAAATCCCACTCCCATGGGATGTCACAGGAGCCCCAGGAGCTGCCTTATCATCCTGCCTTGCATGGAGGAGCCCGAAACCAAAATATCCCCCCCTAATTTCCACCATGGGTGCAGAACAGGTACTTACAGCTCAGGATCGAAGTAGGATGTGACATCAGGATCAGGCACACCTGCTACTGCAAAATTGCTGCTCCCAGTGTCAACCAGAATATTTAACTGCCAAAAAAAAAAAAAAAGAAAAGAAAAGAAAGTAGAGGTGATTTGCATACCCAATTAAATAAATGAACAACAATAAAACATTGCAGTTTTTTGTCTAAACTGTCTTCGGTTTTAAAATCATGATGAGCATTGCCCTGGGAAATGAATTTAGTGTCACTTTTGGGAAAGATATGCTGCTGCAGCCTGTCCAAAACAGCTGATCCTGCTGAAATTTTTAAAATAATCTGTTCCTGGAAGGGGGAAAACCCGCCAAGCCCACATTTGCACAGCAGATGAATTCCTGGTCATCTCCAATTTCTTTTTGGCCCAAACCCACATTTGCACAGCAGATGAATTCCTGATCATCTCCAATTTCTTTTTGGCCCAAGCCCACATTTGCACAGCAGATAAATTCCTGATCATCTCCAATTTCTTTTTGGCCCAACCCATGAGTCTTGGCTGAATTGTGGACTGCTTAAAGCTCTCTTTGTCTTAGAGTTTGTGAGATTTCCAGGCAAGGGCAGAGTACAGGTCTGGACAGAGATAAGCAGAAGCATGGAGCTGCATTGTGGGTTGGAAAACATAGGAGCAATGCCCAGTTAATCCTTTACCACCTTTAAAAATGAGGATGGCAGATATATTAACACCATAATTGAAAGGTGGCCTAAGAGGGGGCCACTTGTTTGGTTACTTGGGAGGGTGATCTAGGCTGAAAATTGCCTAAACATGGGCAAAATGGGACACCTCCTTTCCCCATCTGGCTCAGGTAACTAGGCTGGTCCATCACAGCTGCACAATGGCAAAGCAGGATCACTTCTTTTAATAAGACCTAGAAACCACATTAGGTAGAGACCATTAAATGGTAAATTTAAGTCAGTCAGAGACTCTACTGTGTCACAGACATCTTTTATGAAAAATCCTTTCCTTAAGATTTTTTTCTCCTGAGAAGCTGAGAGGCCTCAGGAACAAAATGTAAACAATGATTATCTGCTGCTGTGGAATGCAACAGGTGCATCTGTGATTGGTCTCATGTGGTTGTTTCTAATTAATGGCCAATCACAGTCCAGCTGTCCAGACTGTCTTGGTGAGTCCCAAGCCTTTGTTATCATTCCTTTT